TTGCTTCATTCATATTTAGCTTACAATTGTGGACTTTAAGGGTTTATTATTATTATTATTATAATGTTGTATTTACTTAGACCAAGATAATTCTGACCAAAAAAATCAAAGTGTAGAATACATCTAAAGCATTTTCTTTAATACCATCTTTCTTTCTTTCTTTTTTTTTTTTTTTTGTTAGACAGAGTCTCACTCTGTTGCCCTGGCTAGAGTGAGTGCCATGGCGTCAGCCTAGCTCACAGCAACCTCACACTCCTGGGCTCAAGCAATCCTTCTGCCTCAGCCTCCCAAGTAGCTGGGACTACAGGCATGCGCCACCATGCCCGGCTAATTTTTTCTATATATATATTTTTAGTTGTCCAGATAATTTTTTTCTATTTTTTTAGTAGAGACGGGGTCTCGCTCTTGCTCAGGCTGGTCTTGAACTCCTGACCTTGAGCGATCCACCCGCCTCGGCCTCCCAGAATGCTAGGATTACAGGCGTGAGCCACTGTGCCCGGCCTAATATCATCTTTCTATTCCTAGTAATGGTATTTTAACAGCACAAATGAAAGATAATTGAATGCACATTTTCTTTCAAGCTGTCTTGGTCATGTTTACCCTAAATTCTGTACACTTTGAAGGAGACCCTAGATGTGGCATTTCCAGCTCTTACGAGGTAAAAAAAAATAGGCTAGGGCTTGGGCTCTGGAAATCTCTGGTGGTAGAGCAGTAGCTTGTAAAAATGCCTTTGACATGTTCATTTTTTCTCTTAATTCAGAAAGGATATTTATCATAATGTAATGGGAACTGCTTGTTAACTAGCACTGTTTTCAAAATTGTGTTCTATAATCTTCTTTCACTGCTCAGATTTATTGTAAGGTTGAATTGAGTCAGCTGGGTTTTCTGTTTTGTTTTTTTGTTTTGTTTTTTCTGTTTCATCAGGAATTCAGAGTAAGAATGTATTTGCGGGTTTAGCACAGGGGAGGAGGCTGTGCCCGGCAGACAGCTGATGAGTGGTAACGGTTACTGTTCAGCTTTCACATGTAACAGTTGTTTCCACAGCAGTATTTATGGGAATTGGATTTGGTCATGATGCCATATTGAGCCAAGATCATCTTTTCCGTGGAAGGTGATGGGACTTGAGAGATTGTGGGGGATTGGGACATGTGGGAGCTGTAATCCCACAGCCCCTCCCCCTGCCAGCACAGCAGTGAATCTTCCCGTGGATTTTATTTTGGGGGCTGTGAGTGAGCAGGCCGTGGCGTTTCTGCTGTGGACCCAGAGTCCTGGCTGTCCTCGGCATGACTTATGTGAGTCTGATGGGGTGTCTTGGTAGGCGCAGAGCTCCTGTGGAGGGAGAAGTGTGGGGAGATGGCAGGAAGGGAGCCTCGGGATTGCATGACTTCTCGAGTGCTGCAGGAGCCTCCCACCTGGGGCTGGAAAAGGGGAAAGGGAGGTCTGGAGAACTGAGGCTGGAGATTGGGCCACAGAGCCAGAAAGAGCCAGTGGGCTGGTGATCCTTGTCCTCTTGGGGTGGGGCCCAGCAGAAGCCGAGGCGATGTTCCAGGCTGGAAAGCCTAGGGCAAGGCGGGACTCAACGGCTGAGTCAGCCCCAAGGAAGGCTCGTGTGGTAGAGGAGCCATGAATGTGGCTGCAAACGTGGCCGCCTGCCCTGATGGGTGGGATGGGCCCGTGAGGGGGAAGTGGTGAGTGGCCAGGATTTGGAAGAGGAACCACAGCATGGAACAGAAGCAGCGGCTCAGGGGGAAGGGCAGAACCTTGTGTTCAGATAATGGCGTAGGGGTCCAGAGCGTGGGAGTCAGCCACAGCACGTACCGACTCTGTGCCGGGCACTCTGCCTGCTGTGGTACTTGCTCCCACTGCCACCTGCTCTTTCAGGCTTTTATCCCCAGTCTGACTTAAAAATCAGGATCCTGCGACTCAGAGAAGTGAAGTCAGTCAGTTGTCAGGAGGACACACAGGAAATAAGCGGCAGAGCTGGGAATTGAACACAGATCTGCCGGTCTCTGGAGCCTCATGCTTCCCACCACTTTCCAGCACCTTTCATTCTCTCCCACTGAAGAAGTGTCCCTGTGAAGAAACACCCACAGAGATCCCCACACGCTGGTTCCCATGTCGGACACACGCGCACACACACGCACACACCCCTGCCCCTTGAGGGCCTAGATGCGGCTGCAAAGAAACGTCTTCAGATTCATGTGAATTTTGGATTCTGTTGTCATTATTTAGCAATTTTTAAGAAGTAAGAAGAAAGCGTGACCTTTATCTCTGAGTTTCCAGTGAAATGGGCTCCAGAGAAGGCATGCGTTTAAGGGGCTGGTGGTCACACCAGCCTGGTCCCTAGCGTGAGGGGAAGTCCTGGGACTCTGGCCATGCTGCAGGCTGTCAGGGGAGAGCTAGAAACCCAGAGAATACCATGGGGGAATGGCGGGTGTTCCCACTGCTTGTCAAATGAAAAGCCACAGAAAGGCAGAGATATCAGTGGTCCAAAGACTAGAAGCAGTAAGGCAGTTACATGATCCCAGCCATCTGGTTAACCCAACATATTTAAATCTAAACTAAATATAGCCCCTTTCCCAAAAAACACTCAGCATATTAAAGCATGTAGACAAGATGGAGATCTGCATGTGGTGCCTGCAGATGAGGATGTGGAGATCCGGATCCTGGCTTAGAATTTCTGGTGAAGTGCAAGGCATTTCCTCCCCATGGTATCAGTCAGCTTGTGCTTGCTATCAAGATCCCAAAACTCATTGGCTTAAAACCGCAACCATCGTACTTCCTCCTGATCCTGTGCATGGGCCATGCAGTTCTTTTGGTCTGGGCAGACTCTGCTCATATGATTTCTTGGTGGCCTGGCTGGAGCTGGGTGGCCTCACATGTGTGGCAATTGGCAGGCTGGTTGTTTGAAGGGAGTCTCAGCAGGGACTGCTTGCCTTGGCTCCACCTGGTCTCTCATCCTCCAGCAGACTAGCCTGGGGTCTTTGCATTGTGGTCTCAGTGTTGCAAAAGTAGCAGAGGAGAACAAGGCCCAGTGCATCAGTACTTTTCCAACCTCTGCCTGCAACCCATCTGCTGTCGTCCCATTGGCCAAAACAAATCCTTGGCCAAACTTGGAGTCATCATGGGAAGAGATTACATAAGGCCATGAATATAGAAAGGCATGAACAAACTGGGGGCCCTAACTGCAACAAATCTACCCTGCTGTAAGCTGGAGATGTAACTTAGCAAGTAGCGATTGTTTCTACCAAATGCCCACCTGAAGACAACTCTGAAACATACTGTGGTTAATCCCCATATGAAAAGGCAGTGTCAGGAAAAACCATAGGAGACATACTTAGTTGTTCTAGTGGCCTGTCCTGCCAGTCGGGGAGGTGGGAAGTCCCCAGGAGGCTGGAAGCAGGGAGTAGTTGACAGACCAGACCTAACCCAGCAGTGGAAGAAAGGACCTGGCCTCCTACATGCAAATGCAGAGAAACCAACAAGCTAGTCTGACCTCCAAAGTAATGAAGCAAGAGACACCACGTGGCCTCAGAAGTCAGGGGTGGGTGATTCCCGGGGATGGTGTGGTAGCTTCCAAGGCCCAGAGTGAGGCCTGAAGACAGGCTGTGAGCCAGAGCTGCAGAGGGAGGGATATGAACAAGAACACATGATTGTGCAGTAGTCAGCTTGGAGTACTGGGCCTCAGCCTTGGTTAGGGATGGACAGAAGCACTTTACATTGGAAGGTGTAAAATTGGGGTCTGTTTTTTAACACAGATACCAGTTGCTGGACATACAAGTTCAGTTGTGAAGTGCAAGTAGATTTTTGTCAATCTTTGAGCAAATGTTCTCTTTTGGTAGAACGTCTGACAGGTCCCTTAAAGGAGTGGGTTTCAAACTCCCCGGCAGGGCCCTTGGGGAGGGGGTAGGAAGGAAGGGGCTCCAGGGCTCTGGCTACTGCTTCATTCCTAGCAGATGTGCTTTTTAAAAAAATAAGCTATTCAGATATAATTCACACACTATACGGTCCACCAAGTGTACAATTTAATGGCTTTTACTATATTCATGCAACCCTCACCACATTAGCAGATGAGCTTTTATCTGATTTTGTCTATCAGGAGATTCTATTTGAAGGGGGAAAAAATTCAGGTTTGAAATTACTGTTACAATCTTAGTGTAGGTTAAGAACCTTTTCTGGAGAGACTGTGTTTTCAAGTTCTTTTTAAAATCCCAATGAGAACCAGGAAATAAACTCAATTTCTAAAACTGATCAGGTAAAACCAATAGTAGCCATTCACTTTTTTCACAGAAGGAACATTTGGGGCCTCATTCAGCTTTTTTTTGTTTGTTTGTTTTTAAAGTCCTTTTGCACAGTTGTGATATGGTTAGAGGAATTTAGAATGAGTGGAGTGGGGCTCCAGGAAGACCTCGGATGCAGCTGAACTAGGCTCAGTGGTCCAGGATGGAGGGAGGCCTGTAAGTGGCAGAGGGGGCTAGTTATTAGGGGCAGATCCTGTTGCACACCCAAGACGTCCCTAAGAGCATTACTGTGGGACACGTTGCGATGACTGATGTTCAGATTAACGATTACAATTAAAGAAGACCAAGGTCGTCTTAGCAGAAAGTTCATCAAAAGCGTTACACATTTAAAGGTTGGAGGTCACACTGGGGCGTGCTGGTCCTTGTGACGACTTCCTTCATTGTCTGGCACATTGTAAATGCTCAATAAACATCCTTTACATTTCTCTCTGGAAAGGTCATGTCTGTAAAGTATCTCACTCACTGTTGATGTCAGATAAACGAGGCATTCATGAACTGGTTTCCTCTTGTTAACTTGAAGGGAGCGTTCTTGCTTGGGCTCCTTTGGGGACAAAGACTAATCATAGAGTGTGCGATTGTTCTCCGGCTCGAGATTCACGCCTCCCTGCCGGGGGACTGGGCTAATCGGATTATTTTCAGTTGACAAACTTGGTTTTCCATCTCTGAACACTTTGTCTATTGCCTCTGCTTCATTCACAGGACGTGTTCCCGATTTGAGGTGAAACCATGAAGAGAAAATAGAACAACAATAATGCTTTTCCGCAACCGCTTCTTGCTGCTGCTGGCCCTGGCTGCGGTGCTGGCCTTCCTGAGCCTCAGCTTGCAGTTCTGTGAGTAGAGCGGGGCATCACTGGGCGTGGGAGGTTAGGTGGCTTCGTTCTGAAACAGAGGGCCTGAGTTTGTGGGAAACAAGGAGGCTCCAAAGCCTTGTTTTTTAAATGAACAATGAGGTTGAAAACAACTAAGTCTTTTTATCACCAGCGATCCTGGTGTGTGGTTGCAAGCAGGGACCCTAAACCACTGAGCAGCCTTCAGGGTGTGCTCTTTTGACTTGTGCATGGATCCTAAACTGCCTGGTTACTCACAGATTCTCAGTTCAGATTTCCCAGGTGGAGACACTGAGAGACCCAGCTTGACTTTTGCACTGAGCCACACCAAGCAGAGGTGTTTGGCTGGCTGGTGGGGTCATTGAGGGTTGGGTGTCCATTTTATGTCCAGTCAGCTGTGGGGCTGCAGTGATTTGGGGCAGGGTGTGGGGATCAGGTCCCCAGTATCAAGCTTGTCCCCTGGGCAGCAGGAGCTTCAACCTGGAAATCTCTGTGGCAAGGCAAGAGTGCTCTCATGAAGCCAGTCCGCCAACCTCACCTTCTAGCATCCTACACTGGGATCCCGGTGCTCAGGCTGTGTTCCAAATCTGTGCACACCACAGCTCCCCCAAGAGTGGCTGTCCACAAACACAGATCTGGCACTGGGCCCTTGTTGGTTGGCACCCCTCAGTGGCGGCCCATGTCTTCTGGGAGGCCCCTTGCCCTCTTGTGTGGCCCCTCTCTGCTTGGTGTGCTCTACGAGTGCCAGCCTGTTCTCTATGCCAAATCCTGGTGCCCTCTGCCTCGAGTGCCTGCCCTCTGCCTCACCCCTCCCACCCTTTCCCTTTCAGCCCTGCCTCTGCTCCCCCAGGAGCCTTCCAGGAGCCCCCAAGGGCTTGGTGCTTCTTTGATATATATCAGAATGCCCTGAACCTGTTCCCTTCCTTTCACTAACCATGCAGTATTGTATTTTTCCATTCTTATGTCTTCCTTCTACAAGACTGTCTGCTCTTTGAGAGCAGGGACCATGTCCTGTTTCCCTCTATGTTCCAGGAACCAGCACTGCCCTGCACATAGCGGTATTTCATAAATGTTTGTTGAATGCATGAATCTGTGCCTGCTCTGAAAAGCAGATAGACCCTAATTCCCTTTCCTTCTGTCGCTGTGTACTTGAAGCTGAGAAAACGTCTGTATGATGCTGGGAATTGTGTTTCTGCTGTCACCTGCCTCACCCTAACGGGTGGGAGACAAGCAGTTGGTACCCATCACTGCCCAGGACAGCTCTGTGAGGATGCAGTGTTTCTGTCACAGTGTGAATGATGGAAAGAAGGGCAGATGGCTCAGTGAGTGGGATGTTGAGTGTGCAGAGGAAAGTGGGAAAGACTTGGTGTTAGGAATAGGTGGTTTGAAGAGAGGAGGCTTTGGACAAGTTTCCTTGATTCACCTCCAGTTGCGACATATTCCTGTGCACACATCTGGTGCATATGACAGGTTATTTCTAATAGTAAAGGGAATTGAAAATACTCATTTTATCCTTCCAGAATTGGAAAAGAGGTCAAGAGAAGGTGGGCATGAGAAGTTTAAAAATATTCCAGATGGCTAATGAACAGTAAAATAGGAATCCTTTCCAAAAAGTGTGGTAGGACTTTCAGTAGTTTAATTGTCTGTAACTTTTCATTAGAAATTTTCCATCCTTTGGTTGGAGAGGTAGATGATACAGTCAACCCTGATTTTTATTCTGAGAAGCTGACAGGTTCTGAGATGTGAATGTGGGCTATTTGTGTTTGCGGCGTTTCTCTTGCATGAGCTGGTTTCCACGTCACTGAGTTGGCCTGTGTGTTTTGCTTATATAACTCTTCTGAAAGTACCTTCTGTTTTAGGAGAGCCAATTTGCAGCCATACTTTTTTAAGGAAAATTTTGCAGAGTAAATTAGCCTGGCTGGGTCTGGGCTCTTTATTCTTGGATACGCTGGAGTCCGAAAAGATATTAAGATATGGACGTTCTTACTGCTCTTCTACTTCTAGGTAAACTGGAACTTTGGGATTCCCCATTTCTGTGGAAATGGGGTTTAATTGCTTCATTTGTTCAATTGCTTTATTGGTTACTTATTATTATGGTGTAAGAAACTGCGCTAATTCATAACGCAAAGGTTTATGCTTAAGTAGCACTTATGTTCTCATTCTTGCTCTAAAATATATGGACTTTTTCTTTGCCATTTCTTTTGACTAATTTGGGAATGCTAAATTAGCACATAAACCTATTTTAAGTAATATATTTGAGGCAACCAAATATAAGTTGGTTTTCTCATGCTTTCAGTAAATAGTATAGTTTTGTTTTCTGAAATGATTGTAGATTTTATTTTGTCTTTTTAGTAGTTTTCTTCTTCTGATGTTTTGAATATGAAAAAGATACTACCCAGCTTATGATTCAAATATCAGACTTTTTAAATAAGCATTTCTTCCTCTGGGTACAGAAAGTACGTAACAAACCCACATGTATTTATTAAGTGCTTATGTGTGTTTGACATTTTTCTACACTGTGGGGGTAGAGGTAGTCAGGGAAGAGATACAGAAAAGATTAAGATACTGGCTGGTCTGAGTGCAGGGGTGTTTACAACTAATTGATTACAACAGTTACAGATTCCTTTGTTCCTTCTCCACTCCCACTGCTTCGCTTGACCAGCCCAAAGATACTGCTCATGGTTTCTCAAAATATGTTCATCTTAAATGGTACTAATGACTTGGTATATGCTAATAGTCCTTAGTAAAAATCATTCATTTTGTGTTTTCAAGTCCTTGATGTTTTGAGTTTGGACATAGGAACATTCTAAAATTCCTGTTATTTGAATTGTAGGAGGTAACAAGTAAGACATGTTTTTAGTCGTTATAGTTAAAATACACACAAGTGGAAAAATAACTTCTCAAATTAAAGGATTCCTTTAGCACAAGGAAAGACCGTCGGGATGCGAAGACTTATGAATCATGGGCTATGTTTCTGCTTTTTCTGCTCATTTGTCCTCATCCACTTTCCTGCTTTAACCCAGCATTTCCTTAATGCTGATTTTATGCTCATTTTGCCACATTCCAACCGTCATCCCCAAAATGGCGGCGTGACGGGAGCAGGCAGGCTGTGGAACCATAGCTTGGGTTGGAATGTCAGCTTCCCCGCCAAGCAGCCGTGTGCCCTGTGTCTTCTTCTGTAAAATAGAGTTAATTATTGCTACTTTGCAAGGTTGGTGGGAGAACAGAACTTTATGGGAAAACTCTTGGCTTGTGGAAGCAAAGCCAACATAAATCTTTTAAGCAAACCGGTACAGAGTTCCAAATAATGCACCATCATCAGAAACCAGGGCTTAACCAAAAGGTTGCCAGAGTGGATGTTACTTCAGCTCTTTGGCAGAGGGAAGCTTTTGAAATATATCATACATGTATTTGTTTCTAATCCAGAGTACACTGGCCATGATGAGAGTTAATTTATACTGAGCACATGGTGCCCATGTCCAGAGCCGCCCTCCCGGGCAGGGCTCTGACTGACCACAGTGGGCTCAGAGGGATGTGTTGACGGTGAACTGGAGACTCAGATTCCCGTTCAGAAGAGAGGCAGGTTCACCTACAGAAGTGAAAGCCAGGGTTGTCTTCAATATCTCAAGAGCCTTCTCTGCAAGAGGAGCGGGACCTGTTCTGCATGGTCTGGGTGAACATGGTGACACATTTCAGTGAAGTGTAGGGTGGAACTTCCTAGCAGTCAGTGTCACGCAGGGTTGGAACGGGTGGTGTGTTCTCCGTCACTGGAGTCTCCAGGTTCTGGAGGGTCGCTCTCTGAAGAATAGAGTTATTGGGCAGGTCATTGGGCCTGATCCCATTTAAATCTCTTTAAATTCTGAGGTTTTATGAATTTTATCTTTCCTTGTCAATCCAGTGCCATGAGTATGTGTGACTTTGTTTTTGTGCAAATGTTCCTTGCATTTCCAACATCTCTTAGAGCCTGGGCTGGGAGTTTAGTCCCCCGAGGGCCACGGGGAGCTTTCTGTCCCATGGAGGAGAATCATGGGCAGGCACTGGGAATGCTGTGCGCAGTGCGCTTGGGCAGGTAAGAGGCGGCGGTGCCGTGGGGTGGGAAAGGACGTGGACTCGGGAGCCAGACTGCCAGAATCAAGTCCCTGGCCTGCCATTTATCAGCTGTGTGACCTCAGGCAAGGTATTTACCTTCTCCGTGCCTCAGTTTTCTCATCTGTAAGGTGAGGGTAATGATAGTTCCTATTTCATACGGTTAGTGAAGGATTCAGTGCACCAGGAACAGGGCTGGAACATAGAAATCACTACAAATGTGTTTGTTGAATCAAATGAATGAGAGATCACTTTTGGCAGGATAGAGGCCAAGAACCCAGTCCAGGCTGGGAGTCAGGAAAGACTTCCCCAAGGAGGTGACATCTGAATTCATCTCTGAGGAAGATGAACTGAGGAGTAGATCAAGGAGGAAGCTGGGAAGGGCATTCCTGGCAGGTGGAGGTGGGGTGCCAAGGCAGAGGGAGGGAGAGCATGGCCCAGGTAGGTCACCTGTATGTAGCTACGATGGGGGACCAAAGGCCAGGGGCCACTTCCATCACCATGTTACATTTTGAAGGCTTTGGGTAGCCACTGAAGCAGGGAAGGTGCCATCAGACTGTGTCTTGGAAAGACCACAGTCCATTACAGTGTTTTCCACTGGTTTCCTGGGCACCTCGATCAGAATCGCCTGGGGAGCTTGTTAAAAATGCATGTACCAAAAACAAAAAAAGAGCAGATTTTGTGCCCCTCCCCACAGAATCAGAATCTTGGTGGGAGTGAGACCCTTAGCAAGCTCCCTGGGTGAGTCTAATGTACCCAAGATGTGAGGACTACCAGTCCCAAGGCTGGTGAAAGGGTAAGGCTGGGAGACAACTCGGAGGCCATTTTGCTTATCCAGTAAAAAGCTGAGGGTGGCCCAGGTGAAGGAATTGGCCCTGAAAGGAAGAAGCAAAGCCAAGAGACATCATGGGGATGCT